TCATGGTGATAAGCGATACTCAATCAACATTTATCAGTGGTTGTCAAATCACGAACAACATCATGTTGGCAAATGAGATGATTCATAGCATGAAAAAAAGGTTTTCACAATAGAAATGGTATCGTTCTAAAATTAGACTTTGAGAAAGCTGTCAACTGTTTTGATTGGAATTTTCTCATATGTGTTTTAGAGGCCATGGGTTTTGGATATAGGTGGATGTCTTGGATTTATGAGTTTATTTCCACAACTTGGGTTTCTATCCTTATTAATGGTTTGGCTATTTTAGAATTCCCAATGAAAAGAGGTCTCCATTAAGTGATCCTTTATCACATTTTTTCTTTATTATGCTCGTTGAGGTATTACATTTAATCTTCCTTAAAGTTAAATCTTTGTAGTTATTCTTTGGTATCTCTTTATCTGCTTTTGATGTCTCTATCTGTCATCTTCAATTGGTCAGCGATACTGTAATCTTTATGGATTCAGATCCTCTTTGTGCCATCTTTTTGAGACATATTCTCCACTATTTCGGAGTTACATCTACTTAGAGAATTAATTTCAACAAATCTTGTGCTTTTTTAGTGGGAAAATGAAGAAAGAATTTATAAGGAAACACCTTCAGAGGTAGAGCAAATAGAGGTTTGAGAAAAGGTAGCTAAAGAAGATGAGCGAAAGGTCACTTTGGAAGAGATTGAGGCCACCATGATAAGAACCTTACTCTAGCATATCTATCAAAACCTAAAACTTGGCTTGCTATACCTACCAGTCACTTCCCGACCACTCAAACTCACCCCATTAGCTTCGCCCCCGAACCAACCAACCTCACCTTAAGACCCTTGATTTCAAATCATTACTTTACTCATTTTTTGTAAGGTGTCTTACTTTCTAAGTTTATAATATTTTGTAAAAAGTCTTTTTTTTTATGTAAACAAGAGAAGCATTTGAATTAACCTTATTTTACTTTTAACCCCTTTTTTTATTATGACAAAAAAAAAGAGAAAAGCTACATAGGTGCTTGTGATTAATTTAGATATTTTTAACCTTTTGGAACCTTTGCAATTGTGGATATGTTGGTTATGCAAATTGTGTTAATTGTGGATATGTTGAATTTGCAACTTATGTTGGCATATAAATGTGGTATGCAATTGAGTATTTGAAGTTTTCTATAGTTGTAAACTTTCTTGAAATGCAAGGGGATAGCCCTAATTATAAAAGGAACATTTGCAAAATTTTTTTAAAAATTAGATGCACTAATTAAGGAGGAGTAATTCCCAATTTGCATAAAAGACTTCAAAATTTTGAAATATACTTAAAGTGTTCATACATTACTCTTTGCAATAGTAAATAATCACAAACAAACTTAACATATTTTAAAGACATTACACACTTAAATCCAAGGGTGTTTTTTCATCATAAAAAAAGGGAAGATTGTTAACTCCATATATTTTTTATGATAACAAAACATTCATTTTCTTCAAGTTTGACTATGTTACTTGAGTGTGTAAAGGTAAAATTTGTATTTTATTATATATCTTACACCTCAAATACCCTAAGATAAGTTTCAAGTTCAAAGAAAATGATTCAAGCAAGTTAGAGGGTATTTTATGAAGTGTAATCGATTAACTTAACACTTTAATTGATTAATCAAGCTTGGAAGAAAGGTTTAGAAATTCAAAGAAGGTTTAATCAATTATCATAAGAATTAATCAATTAAAGAGGTACTTGAAGAGATATTGGGACTTAAGGAACAAGTTTAATCAATTAACACCAGGGTTTAATTGATTAATAAGCTTGGAAAAGGATTTAAAGCTTTATGGAACACTTTAATCAATCAGCCATAAGGTTTAATCGATTAGAGTAGCAATAGAAGGCACTTTAGAGCTTCAAAATGAATATTACTCAATTAACATAATTCTTAATCGATTAACAAGGGTTTATAAGGAATTTAATCGATTAAAAGGAAGATTAATTGATTACAAAATGACCGTTGGAAGGCACCACTTGAAAAAATTTGAATTCAGAAAAACTTTAACTAGTTAAAGATTAGATTAATCGATTAAAGAGGACAAAGGGAAGTTTTAGTCGGTTAAAGCCAAGATTAATCAATTAACATGAAGAAAACGGAGATAGTGCATAAAGACTTTAATTGATTAAACAAGCTAGTTAACCAGAGTTAAAGTATCACAAAAGGACAAGAAAAAGGGGCAAATCTCACCTCACTTCTCCCTAATGGCTGGAATTCACCTTCTATGTATAAAAAATGTCCCAAACGATCATAAATCAGAAACAAATGAACCAAGAGCAAGAATTGAGCTTAGAGGTATCTTAAAGTTTTCTTTTTTATTGTGCTTCACTCTTACCTTTGAAAAGAGTTTTGAGTTTAACTTTATACCTCTTAGATCCGTTAAGTGATCAATTATACTTTATCTTTTCTGTATTCTTTGTTTACTTAAAAGTGTGAGAGATACTCAAAGGGGTGGACTAAGCTTAGGAAAGCTTGGGGAATTTTGTAAGAGTTTTGAGCCTAGGTTAGAAGCTCACCTAGTAAAATCTTAGTGGAAGCTGTCAATTCCATTAGTTTAGTGAAGTTGGGTTGAAAATCTTTTCGTTAAATTTGTTTCACATAAATGTACATATTGCAACAAGTAATATAAAGGTAAATAGAATGTCCAATCCCATAAAGAATTACACCAATTTAAGCTAAGTACTAAAATTATAGCAAACTAATTTTATCCAAGTAATCAAAATTAAATGATTAATTAAAAGAAATTTGAACTAACAAACTAAAACTAATAATTGAATGACAAAATTTACTAGAAAAGCTATTGATTAAAAGCCTAATATTATGATATCCCTCAACATTTAATTTCAATTCTCTTTCTCTCTCTAAACTTATTTCAATAAATTGAGTTGTTAACCTAGAGTTTTAAGCTATCTACATGTTCTATCAAGATGTTCATAAAAATATCTATCTCAATTAAGTCACTATATCTATGTAAATTCAACTGAAGGCAAATTCATTAAGTTTGTGCTTTAATTTTGGCCACATGCGTCACATAGGTGTATGTCTATCTTATATGTAAATTAAATCACCTAATCAACTAAGTGATACTGAACACACGTTATTCCATTCATGGCCTAATCTAAACTCCCTTCGTCAAGTTTTATTTAGATATCTAAATTAATCTAATTGGTGATCAAGAAATTAGAAGCATTGAATACTAAATTGGAATAGACAACTCATATTTCATTGAAAATAAGTAAAAGAGAAATTAAAAATCTAAATTACATGTTAAGTTCAATCATAATCCTAGAAAAGGTAAATTAGTTTATAATATCCATAGAAAACACCATCCAAAGAAAATTAACCATTAATCCAAGTAAAATAAAAAAGAGAAAAACAAAAGTAGAGAGAGAAACTAAGAATTGAAACCTTTGAATCTCAAATCTTCCTTGAATTCTCTTATTGTCATCCTTTATTTTTGGCCTTTTTTTCTCTAAAATAGCTACTCTCTATGTCCCCTCTAAAAGCTCTAAAAAAAATCCCCTTCAAATACTTCTAAAAAAACCTTAGAATTAAAATCTTTTAAAAACACATTTTTTGGAAACACATCCAGCACCACGGCCTTGGTCTCTTTAGTGCCGTGGTGTCATGACGCCATGCCCTCAAGTGATGGTTGGGAGCATGGATCGTCACTAGCGCCAAGGTGCTCTGGTGCCTCTTGGCATCACAGCCTTGAGCAATTCAAGGCCGCAACCTTCACCTTCACATGCTACCTTGTGTAGAAACTGAAACAGTTTAGTCTTTTCCAATGCAATTTACCCTTCAATATGATCCAAACTAAGTAAAGTCGTAAAAATGAAATTGTTGCCCGATCTCTTATCTTTCCAATAGCTTAAAAATCACATCAGTTGGATTTTTGTAGCAAAAGTTATGCTTAAAATACTTCATTATATGCAAATAAAGCTATCGCATATTTGCATGGATTATCATCACATAAAGCCATTTCATCAAATTTCTTACAAAAACAATAAAGGACATTAGTAATAACTAAACCTATAGTAATTTAAAGAAATATAATATAAAATTAAACTAAAATAACTTAAACGAAATTACTCAGCATGCATTTAACTTTGTTAAGAAAATTACTAAAATATTAAATTCCAAACCTAAAATCTCAAAGACTTAGCTGCTTAAGTCTCAAAATGTGACAAAATAACTCTATAAAATAGAGTTATCTAGTCCTTAATTGGAAGATCAAGGTAATGGATATAAGTCAAATGGACTAAACCATGATCGAACCATCATAAATATTTGGATTTTGTCAATGTCTCTTTACCCTCTCTTTTCTTAGTTTCTTTTTGCCTTAATAAGTTTTAAACTCTTATTTTTAAAATCCTTCAAGAGTTTCCTTAAGATTTTCTAAAACAATGTTATTCACCCCTCTTTAGCACTCCATTAAGATCAACAACACTTTTGTTCGTTTCTTGTATTTTTTTCATATTTTCATTGTTTGTATTACAAATTATACTGTAGCATGGATGCACGATCATCAAATATTTTTCATCTTTTTTCATTAATATAATCTCCTTTTGGTTGAGAAAAAAAAAGTATTGTGTACGCATAAATTAAGGCTTTCCATAGAAAAAAAAACGGGTTTCCTTATCATGTTCATGAACATAGGTTTATTGTGGATATATGAAATGATAAGACACATGTCAAAAAAAGGGGTTCTTTTAGCATGTGTAAAACATTGATTTTTTTTCCTAAGCATGTGAAAGCATAGACTAATTGTTAGGGAAAAATGTTCCTTTAGCATAAGCTTTTGGCCATGTGAAGGAGTATGGACTGTGTAGACCTAATGTGGAGGAACTTATAGTCATTTAGCATGTGCTAAATGAGTGAGAATGTTCTTGGTTATCAAAAAACATGGAATTGATTTGCCACTATTGCATTTTAAATATCGTTTGCCTGATCCTTGAAAAGTATGTAAAGAACTCAATTATTAAGGACTAGTGTAGCCATAAGCATAAACATGAGCATTGGTATTTTCATGTTACAAAGATGTTTGTGCTGACTGCGAGTTGATAAGATGTAAAAATATACACATACATATATACATATATACATTTTTTTTACCAACCCCAATCCATCTAATCCCCTCTTCTTAATTTACTTATAGCTTCATATTACTAAAGCTTCCTTTAAACGAACCATAATGAGGTTGTGATCTTCTAAAACTCAAGATATCATCAATTCGAAGGGAATGCAGTTGAAGTGGTTCACTCTTCTCTGATCTATATTCAGATAGATGCTTCTTTCCGTATACACGCACACTTAGTGTCTTCTTGCGAGGTGAACCAACTTTTATATATTCATTGAAAAAATCAATGAACTCTTGTTGTGTAACCTGTCTTAATACTTCAACCTGCTCAAATACAAATTGTGTGATCATAAAACTATCTTTTAGTTAAAAAATTTATATCATGTATCAAAACTTTCATCTTAATTAGCCTATAAATCACCAACATATATTTTGTTCCTGACAATGTTACATAAAGTAAAAGTGAAATGGATTTTGTTCATTCTTTTACTTATCAGTGAAAATCCAAAAAGAGTTATTTACCTCGGCTTCTCTCCTATCAAACTTGAGGATGCCATTTATAATCTCCTGCCAGTAAAACCTAGATTCTTCCCATAGGTTCTTGTGCTTCTCCAGTTTCACATCAATCAATGCATTTACATTTCTCTATACAATAAGTTAAAAAAAAAAGAAGTTACTAACCTAAAATCATCAGAATTTGAGGGAAACATTTGATGCATTAATCAAGTACATTTACTCAAAAAATAAATATTCAACTGTCCAAAACTCTCCTTCCAATCTTGGCAAATTCATGACGAAAAACATAAATTAATGTTAAATAAGTCCTAAATTCGCATATCACCATTCTAAACTACATGTAAACTAATTCCCAGATCTCATATATGGAAGATAGAACACCAAATAATTAAATAATGTAACATACCTGTTAGAGCTATTAAAATCATTGTTAATTACAAATGGAAGCTAGGACAAATTCCGAAGCTAGGGCTTAGGTCTTTCTCTTCACTCTCCTCCTTTAGACAGCTCTTAATGCATAAAATCCATGCATTAGAAGTGAAAAAGAGACCAAGCCATATTTACATAAAACCCTGATAGGATCCCTCATCATGGGATTGAGCATATATATGCCGTCTACCACACTGGCTCAAATGAGATGCATACAATCCAGACCACTTTAACTTAATTAAACTTACATGTTTCCCTTAAGACTAAATCTATCAGCCCTTTTATAAACCAAAATTTCAATTAAGGGTAGCTCACGTTTAGGGAAAATTCTAACAGCTTTTGCTTTTTTATGAATAGAAAACAAAATGTTTGGCTGTTATGAATAAAAGAAAAAATGATTTCCTTCATATGGAAACTTTATGTGAATTACGTTTTACTTTTTAACTATTGACTTAATTTATGCATAGTTATAAACATATCACAATTAACAAGGATAAAAAATAAGAAATACAATAACAAATTCTCAAGCATGAAAAAACCAATAATAAAACACAATCAGATGTAATTTGGCAGCTCATTTTCGTTTTGCTAATTTAAAATCTATTTACAATTTTTGGCCTGAATTATATTTACCATATATCCTACAAGTTGTTTCATACTTGTATATGAAAAAAATTAACTACATATATGGCATGTAGACATGAATATATCAGAAAACAAAAGAGCTGCCTGATAAAGTCGAATTTTTGACCTTTGTTGCGTTTGCTAAAATAGTGTCCACTACATATAGAGAAAATAATCATAACGTGCAATTGAAAATTTTCCATCTTACCTTAAATTCATCATTGGTCATTTCATAAATTTTGTTCTCAAACTTCTCGAGGAATGCCTCAACCCTCGAATCAATATCTCTTGGATTCTGTTCAAAATGTCCAAGCTCTTTAGAAGATGAAGTAACAAATTAAGCAATGTAATTACGATAATAAGTTAATTAATTACAAGGGTCCCCCTCTCATTTTCATCCATCCATGTTTAAAGCAATACAAAATATAGGAGAAGAGAGCTACTTTCATATATATATATTTATGTACCCAAAACTCTTATGTATAAAAAAACGAAATTAAAAAAGGCCACATTACGCACCTTCATTGTGGATTGAATAAGGAATACCACTCCATGGATTCCAAAATCATTCCTAGTAAGAGAAAATTAGTAAAACCAAAGATAAACTTCTTGCTTCTCAAATTGTGTGTGTGTATATATATATATATAACATTTGTGAGCCTTTTTTAAATGCAAAAAAACTCCTACTCTTTTCTTTTCTTTTTACTTTTTGATAATAGTAACTATTGAACATCAAATTCAATTGCATAAAAACATATATTATAAACTTTAACGTAATAAAATGAAAAATGAAAGTCAAACCTGAGTATAACGTTCATATATGATTACTTAATTCTTATACCTTCTATAAAACTGATTTGTGTACCCAAGTTGCTCAATAGAACTAAGCTGATGATAGGCTGGTTCCTTTGCAATAAGGCAAAAAAGCTGAAGTTTCACATTCAATATAAAATCATCTCGATGAACCTAACATCCAAAAACTATTCACATTAAAATTGCATGAAAAATTAGATAAAATGGTAGCCTTACCTTAAAACAAATAAAAAACACAACCAATATATAGGAGATTGAATAAGGGGAATAGGGCGAGTATAAATTAAGTAAAGATAATGATCTAATAAAATAATCTAACTTAAAGTTCGTTAGTTGCAAGTGGTGTGTAATTCCAGAACCAATATACATCACATATAAGCGTCAATTCAGTTTTTTCCTTGATTTACAGCTATATAACCAAGAGAATATTGAGGCTGAAAAAATTAGACTTTCTTTGCTTATCACTAAGGGTTTGTGTTTCGTTTTTTTTTTCTTTTTTAATTCTTATGCAAAAGTTGTTATAAAATATAATTATGTAAACAATGATCAAAAACAAAATGAAATTTAGTTAATTAAAAAGGTTAAGGTGGTTTTCTTAGTACATATATATCATGAAATGCATTCACACGTTGAATCATAAAAAGAAGACTAAATGATCAATTTGGGATTAAAATTTTTCGATTTTTGACAATTTAGGATCAAATGTTTCAATTGTAATAATAAAGGGTCAAATGTTTTTGGTTCTTTACAATTAAAGACTAAAGTGAGATGTGTTTAACGAGTGTAGGACACGCACATGATGCAGACAATGACTTGAAAGGGTAAGATACAGAAGGGTAGTTTTGTCATAAAATCATTTTTGTCAAGTTAAAATGGTTCAAATTATGATGTAGCCTATAACAATTTTTTCATCATAGCGTGTAACAACTAAAATTTTTTAAATGACTTAGAATAATTATATTTTTCAACATGACATATAATAACTATATTTTTCAAAATAACGTATAACAACAAAATTTTTAACATGGCATATAACAACTAAATCTTCAATATGGTGAGTAACAACAATATTTTTCAACATGACATGTAACAACTAAATTTTTAACATGGTGTGTAACAACTAAATTTTTAATATAGCATGTAATAACTACATTTTCAATGTAATTTTTTGTCGTGTGCGATGCATACTCCATCCACTTGTCAACTTAGCCGTTAATTGTAAAGAATTAAAACGTTTGGCCTTTAATTCTTACAATTAAAACATTTGTCCTTTAATTGAAAAGTGCATAAAGGTTTAGCTCCAATTTGAACATTTAACCTAAAAAGAACTCTATTTCATATATATGTATATATATATATATCAGATCATTTTATAAGTTATAAATTATTTTCCTATCATTCCAAATTTGAACCTGAGGTTTTTAGGTACAAAGTTTGAAACATAGACAAGTGTAGTCAAAATGTGTTACTAATCATATAAAAATAATTTTATTAAAATGTATATCAAAGTAAATCATGTATTTTGTTATCTTTAGATCTATCTACAGTCAGGCTGTCATGGGTCAACTTTTGTAACCCAAAAGACATGCTTGATAGGTGATGGAAGACTCATTGTTGTATACTCAAGACATTGTTATATGAATAAAATTAATTTTATTGAATTTAAATTCTAAAATATATTTAAAATATTAAAATATTTAATTGCATTCCAAACACACTTTTTTTTTTGGTTTCTAAAAGTAAAAGTAGGTGACAAAAGTAACAAATTAAATTTAGTCTTAGTTTTTCCAATAAATTAAAAGAAGTATACTATTTCATAAAGTTGTTATTTGTTATGCGCAATTTAGGAGAGTTTCAAGTAATTAACTCTAAGTTAAGCTAAAAGCTAAATTTTGAAAGTCCACTGCAACAAGATACAAGAGAGTTAAGATTATGTTATAAGAAATGTTAAACTATGATAAATTAGAAGTAAATACAAGGGATCAAAATTATATAGATATATCTAATTACCTGAATATAATGGAGTAGCGCAGAATTCTCATTACTTGGATTTAGGCCTTGCACAGAGTAGAGGTAACTCACGCCTCTTCCAAATTTAACAACTTCACTTGTGAGATGTAGCGATGGAAATAATGGTTGGCATTTAGGGTTTAAACCCTCAAAGAAAATGGATTCAACATGTTTAATTATTGAAATTGCTTCATCACATTCCATGTTTCCTAATTAGGAAGCAAACATTAATATCAAAACCAACAATGTGATTATATCCTTTTTAAAAAAAATAATGTGATTATATCAATATATAGGTGCATCCCTGGTGTATATATCTTCCATATTTCAACATATTATGAGCACTCTAATTTAAACATGATTCATAAATTACCACTGACATACATTGGAATTAACTATTTAGTTTTTGGTTTGTTACTTTGGGGGTTTTGTATTCTTCGATCATTTTATAAATCTCCATTGGCTATAAAAATAGACCATAAATCAGGAAATCGTTTAAAAAGCTTAGAGGTATCAATGCGCTGATTTTGGGTATTATTCCTTTTAGATCTAAGCCCGACTCGATTAACTTATTTTATTAATAAATATTATGTTTTTATTATATTTAATTTTCAAAATATATTAAAAACATTAAATTATTAATATAAAATATTATTTTATTATTTTAATAATAATATATTATAACAATTAATTGGCGGGTCAATTTGGGCTTGAACTTGGCTTTAAAAAACATAAATTTGGGTTGTCATTCTTCTCCAGGAAGATGGGATGATGTTAAGGTTGTTGGAGAGCTTATGAGTGATAGATAGATTGTTAAGGATCCTAGTTGTAGATGGGAGATTGACGTTAGTTAGACAGCTTGTACTCTATCTTTGTGGACAACATTAGCAAGAGAACACCATGGTCAGCAATCAAGGGAGAGTTTGAAGAGTTTGGTGGGGTCATTGATGTGTTTGCTCTTAAATGAAGTCTACAAGACAAGGGGAGAGTGACAAATTTTGCATTTGTAAGGTACAGAGAAAAGTGTTAATTGGAGAATGCAATTAAATGGGTTAACCACCAGTGGATCAATTGAAGACGGATCATAGTTAAAAGAGCGAAGCCACTGAAGAAGAATGAAAATGGCATGAGGAGGAACACTAAAGAAGAGCCTAGATGGAAATAGAGCACTTAGAGGAATGATGGTTGAACCTTCAAAATGTTGTGGCATGAGAGAACTAGAAAAGTTATGTTGACAAAAGGGAGGTAAAGGATCTAATAGGAAGATAAAGATCTGGAGAAAGCCCAAAAGGCTATGTTGGGAAAGGAAAAGATTGAAAGGAAGTAGGAACAGAAGTAAACACATCAGGTAGATAAGTAGAAGAAAGATCAAAGGATTGTCAATGTCAATGCAACCATCCAAGATGAAGAAATGGAATGAATAAATTGCAATATAATAGGGAGCTTGAAGAAAAAAGTAGAATGTAGTGTGATACAAATGGAGCTAGCTAACAAAGGGATTGATGCCTAAGTAAGAATATTGGAAGGTTTGGTAGTTCTCTTAACATTTAAAGAACAAGGAATGATGGAAACAATCTTAGAGTGCTATGTAGAACTTTTTAAGGTTTAGTTGAAGTCAATGGTTCTAGTAGCTTATGTAAGTCAAGAAAGAGAAATTGGCATTTAGATTAGATTGTGTAAATCCTTTTACAAGTTTCACTTTTCTCTACCTGCAAAGCCATTGCAAAATGTTGGGGCAAATTCATTGGAGTTGATAAAAGCACCTATAAATTAAAGGGGTTTCATCAAGCATTTATGCTTGTTAAGGTTAAAATTAGAGCAAACATTCCTAGTAAGGTGAATGTAGAGGTTGAAGGTCAAGTGTTCAATGTCCAAGTAACTATAACGGGGAAAAAAATGAACTATGGGTTGGAATGTTATTTTAAGGGTATGAAAATCATTTAATCCATGGAGGAGAATAAGCACGTTGAGATAAGTCATGACAATGCTAATAGCAAAGAGAGAGAAGGGTAGAAAGTGTCATTGGATGGAGGGCACAAGGAATGAGACAACTCAAGGATCAAAGATTGTTAGGTGACAAAGGTAAGCTCTAAAGATTTTTGAAAAGAAAAAGCTGAAAGGAGTAGATAGAAGTAAAAGTACAAAGGCTAATACGCATTAACAGGTGTTTTTAGAAGATCTGGTCTATAGGCTACAACATGGTGATGAAAACAAGGGATGGTACTAGAAAAGAGAAACATAGGTAGAAAGAGGGATATAGGAAAAAAGAAAAGCTAACTCACCAAGTCCAAGACATGAAAAAAAAAGGAAAAGAAAGAAGATAATTCCAGAACAAAAAAAGGAGTCAGGATAAAAAGCTAGTGGGAACGAAAAAACACTATGAATAGAAGTCAATGGGCGAAAGTAGAGAAGAGTCAAGCTAGGAATGTAAATTGGTAAAGAAAAAGGCCTTGAAGTTGAGTCTTATAAGATCTAGTGGTAATGAACAAAGATAAGATAGAGGTTTACATAGGTTGAATTATGGGGTTTAGACCTTAGTGTTGAAGACTTAATGATTCCAGCTTGTAAAGTATGAAAAAGAGTGAATTTGGGCATGAAGCAACTACTGGTTGAAGGAAGGAAGTCAAGAGAGGTATAATGTCATTTTGTCTCTTTAGTTAATAATTGGTTAAAATTTTCCTACAAATTTTTCAACAACAAAATGACCATTGCCCTGTATTTAATTACTAAGGTTATCAACATGTATGGTTTAATATATTTCGTTTCAATAATAAACATAACCGACATTCTTGGTTAATGGTTTTCAAATTTGGAAATCAATACAAATTTTCAATCTGGTTTTCACACTGGTGGAATTGGTTTAGCCTGCTAAGGGAAATACTTCCAGCAAAAATTGACCAATTATATAAAAAATTTTCTCAAAACTTTCAGCCTAAGAAAGATCAAGAAAATTTACATGTTTCTATGCATTATTTCTCAAAATTAATTATATCATGGATTACTTCATGGGATTACTCCTATGATACTGATCCACATTTTGGAACACCTATGGTCTTCAGAACATTCAAGACCAAATGGTGGGACAACTTTAATAACAAAAAATATGATAGCCAATTTTTATTGGCATGGTTTAAGAAGAATCCAAGACTATGCAAAAATGCCTAACTATCTCAAGAAACTACAAGATTCCTACAAGTCAAATCCAATACAAGTGCTTTACTTGCTCAAGCAAAAACCAAGACTGAGCATAAGAGAATAATGGTAGAAATGCTCAGCTCCTTAGACTCGGATGACGAACAAGAACCTAAACAAGAGGAAACTACTTCATCAAGAGAAATAGTAGATCTCACTCAAGATGAAGACCACATTCCTTCAAGAAGGAAGAAATGAAATTGCAGCAAATCTACCAAAAGACATCACGAGGAGCACAGTAAAATACAGTACATAGAAAAAAAAGTAGAATGGCAGTACATAGGAAAAAGCAAATTCTCTCCCAAAAGACAAGACATCACGAGGAGCACAGTAAAAGCAGGCATCGGATTCTCTGTCAAAAGATATTGCGAGGAGCACAGTAAAACAGTAAAAAGCAGATTCCCTACCAAAAGTAAAATTTAAATTCAAATGTAATGTAAATGCAAAATCAAATGTAATACAAGGTCCATCTATATAAGACAAACCAGTAACTAAAAGATTTGCTATTATATGATCTGTGATTTGACGAGTTTGGTTTTGAGTTTTATATACATTTGAGACCATTGTCATTTGTTGGAGTGTACTGAAAATATTATATTCAGACATTGCATCAATATTCCATTCATAAATTGTATTAGTATTGTATTTATTTTGAAATGTTCATTTTTCTTCAATATTTATGTTAGGTGTTGTGATTTTGGGATAATAAAGTCTTTGAGGTTCTTTCCAAACCATTTTATTAATTTGTTGATCCTTCGAATCATTTGAAAAGTTTTGTGAATCTGTTTGATCATTTACTACATTGATTGTATGAATTTGTTGTGTTGGTGTTTCGGGGATTACTGTTCTTAAATTTTAGCTTTCAAAAGCATCAGTCCGATCTCGTATTTCTTTTAAGAATTGATTTTGTTCTTTGAGGTTCTTTCTAAACCATTTTATTAATTTGTTGATCCTTCAAATCATCTGAAAAGTTTTGTGAATCTGTTTGATCATTTACTACATTAATTGTATGAATTTGTTATGTTGGTGTTTCGGGGATTACTATTCCTGAATTTTGACTTTCTAAAGCATCAATCCAATTTTGTATTTCTTTTAAGAATTGATTTTATTATTCCTGATGGTATCTTTTTGGAACTTCAAATGGTGTAAATACCGGTTTCGAGGTCTTTTCTTTTTTATTATTTGCTGGCAATTTTGAGTGATCTTAGGCTAGTTTTCTACCAAGGTTTCTATATAAAACAATGGCTAAAATTTGGTAATACATAAAACAATGGCTAAAATTTCTTTTTTAATAGTTCTGTAATTTTGTTGAGTTGGAGTCCAATGTGGGGAGGTGTACTAGACTACATGTTCTTTTTAGTTTTTGAGTTGTTTGAGGATCCCACCATAGCCTATTTTTGATGCATCTATTTCTCCTATCTTAAGGAGAGAGGGATTTGCTAGGTGTAAGCATGAGAGTTCTTTTATATGAGTTTTTATTTGTTTGACCATTTCAGTATGGGCATTTGTCCATGGACTAGGGTTTTTTCTTAACCTATCATGCAAAGGCTTACATATTTTATTTATCCCTTGATAAAAGTGAATGACATAATTAAGATTTCCTAAAAATCTTTGGAGTTGAGTTTTTTTATAATTTTGTCAGAAAAATTCTCAGCAAATTTGATTGATCTTTCTATAGGAATTATGGTACCATATGTCACATAATGTCCTAAAAATCTTATTTTTGTTTGAAATAAGCTAAGTTTGGATTTAGATACAATTAAACCATTTTTCTTAATAATGCTAATGAATATTTTGAGATGTTTGAAATGTTTTTCTAGATTTTCTGAGATGACTAAAACATCATCAATGTATACTATGGTAAATTGAGAATATGGATTGAATATTTCATTCATTATTCTTTGGAATTTTGATGGAGCATTTTTTAGACCAAAAAGCATGACATTCCACTCATATTGTCTAAAAGGGACAATAAAGGCTGATAATATATATGCATGCATGTATGTATATATGTATGTATGTATGTATGTCTATCCACACAAATATGTAAAATATAATATAAAATTTTTGTTTGATTTCTTCTTTCATATTGATGCAGTATAGGGAAGAAACATAGAACTAACCTGCTATGAAACACTCCAAAAAAGTCCTTGAGAACATAATAGGAATAAATTTGTCAAGGTCTTCTACTTCTAAATGAGGTAAAACATCAAGTTTCTGCTTCCAAGGCCATCCTATATCCCTCAATATTAATAAGCAATACTCTCTAGCTAGTTGAGAGGGTTCTCCATATCTAAAGTTGGAAATGCCCTTTGTTGTCATTTCCTGATAAACAGAAGAAACTACTTGAAAAGTGTAAAACAAAAGGTTATAAACACATACAGTTAATACTTGCCATATTGAAGATACTTTTCATATTATATATTTTATTAGCAATTGAGCCAATAAGTTAATTTCTTTTTTTTTATGTGAATTCCCAGCATTGTCAACACCAATCTAGAGCAGTTAAGTGGAAACGTGTTAAAAGCTCATCAAACTTGGATTGGCTCTAAAATTGGTCGAAAATTTGGAATTTCCAAAAGTTCGTGAATTTTGCTGGATGCGCATATCTAGATAGTTATAGACTCATTCACGAGATACTACATCATGGAAAGACTAACTAAACGAGTATATAAGGTAGCTCAACATAGATAGGCATGAGCAACGATTCATGAACTCAACAATCAGGGCAATCCACTTGAATTTTAAGCTCAACCTCTCTCGACTTACACCACTTGAATGGAACCCATATTGGTAGCCACAGACTTGTAGCCAAAACCGAGCATCTATTGGCAAGACTCCCAAGACCCATATGACCTTAATGGTGACTTTGACCCAAATGACTTTTTCATTAATGAGCTAAAATGAGGCCCAATCAAACACCCACAAAAACAACCCAGTCCTAACCAAGCGTCTTTTAGTGCTTCTCAACCAAACACTATGGACCAAGCCATTCCCCTTGAATGAAAAACTGATGGTCTCCCATCAAAATTGCTTGAACATTCGGGATATCATTTTACTCCAAAAGCAGATAATTCTCACCTCTACCTCCTAAATGACAGTGATTAAGGAAATTTCCAAATTAAAATATGTTGAATTAAGTGTGCTAGTGGGATTATGTTAAGTGTGACCCACTAAATATGTGTGCCCTGCCTTTCCTACATCAGAAGACATAAAGTTTGTCTTCTTGTTGCACTCGACAAATGAGCCTTCATCAACGGACGAGAAAAACGCATCAAAAGAGATCTCACCTTGAAAGAAGTTGGAGGGGAGAAAACATAAGATTATATAAAGATGCCTAAAACTTCAACCATTACCTTGATTATAGAAAACCTGTCGGGTTTCACTTCAAAATTTGCAATCTTATCAACTACAGTTCCCAGCAGAATGTTCAACTTGTCATTATAACCAAACACTGTCACCTATATATAGAAGAAAACCCCAAAGTTAAGAACACAACATATTAGAAAATATATAAGAAATGATGCATACTTATTCTACATTCCTTGGACATGTGCATGCGCAAACACATCTAGAGAATGAGCAAGAAATTAGTTTACTTTACTAATTTTTAAAACAAATAGTCTTAGATCATAATTTTCAAACTAAGGAGTGTCTCGAGCACCTATACTGCTCTAAATTTTGCACATTTACATGTAGCTTGTAGGAGACGATGATATCTTATAATTTTATTTTCTTTTTCTTTTTCAAAATCTTGCATACTAGTGCACTTGAATATTTAATTCTATGCTAAATACATATATATTTCAACTCAAATAGTTGGATTTACATCTTTTTTTTCTCTAAATTAAAAAAGCCTTGCCAATATTAGCACAAAATGTTGAGTTCTTATATATAAATAAGCTGAAATTAAATCGAGACTTTAACAAGTACCAATAGCCACTTCAAAATTATTAAAGCGAAATGGAAAATGAGAGAAGCAAAATTACCTCAAGACCTCTGTTTGTGCGCAATATAGAATAATGAAGGCCAGCGATTTGAGCGTAGTATACTGAAGCGAAGAGGATAAGACAAGGCTTTTGTCAAGAAGGGGGACGGAGCTTTTGAGTGTTGAGAGCAAGAAATGAGAAGTGCATAAGACTAGTAATTTACCGTGTTCATTCAAGTAATCACACAACAACTGTACAAAAATGTTGGCAAGGACTTCAGCTTGAGGAGAGTTTCTAACGTGGGGACAGTTGAATTCTATTTTAACGAATGCCTTAGGTATGGAGAACATTGTATCAGGCTTGTACCATAGTTTTGAATAGGATGACTTTCTTAACAAAACTGGAAACTTGACCTGCTCAATGGGATCCATCTAAAGGTTAATTTATTGCTATATCAGAGTGGCTAGAGTTGGGATTGATAAAGACGATCACAACAAACCTGTTCTTGAGCAACCTTAAGAGACAAGTTTGTGGGTATGAACATATTTGGTGTTGGTAGCTGCAAATTATCACCTGGTGCTGATGACATCCATTTCTGCAATCAAATCAAAGGTTCCATCAAGAACCTTTCTCTTCGCCGGAGACTTATAAAATGTATAGAGAGGATAGTAAACAAATGGAATTCTACAAAGTTGTTATATAAATATATAATGGGTAAGATCAATGGTAAACCTGAATCATCGAAGTAGTGATTTTTTCAACAGTATATGCAGTACCGAACCATGGCTCAACCTTATCTGTGTCTCCTTCAAATTTCTTCGACTCCCAGAAGATTCTGTTAAACAGAGATCATATTAGATACAAAACAAAAACCGATTCACCTGTCTATTAATTGAACTGTTATTTTATACATGGTCGGTGGAGTTTCTAAACTTCACAATCGACGGATTAGATAGTTGGTGCATATCTATATTTAAGAAAACTAGTAAATTAATATAATGAATCTATGCATTTGACTCTCTCTCTCTCTCTATATATATATATATATATATATACACAATTAGATTTAAATCTTCCTCTCCAAAATCAAATATATATATTTTTATGTTTTAAATATATATATTTTTATGTTTTAAATATATATATTATTAATTAAATATACATAGATATGACAATATTTTAACTCTACTTATAGAATTTAAAAACTCAATTGTGGGTATATAAAATATAATCCAAATTAAGATATGTACTAGTTAATAATATGACAAGCTTAGATGGGATTTCATATAGGATACTTTATGCAATATTGGCTTTTTGACTCAGTTTATTGACATTATTGCATGGAGTTGTCAAGGATGTAGTACTCAAATTATCTGAAATGGTTTTCTTGTAGACTCCTTTTTACCTTTAAGAAGAATACGACAAGGGACCCTTTTCTCTTTATCTTTTTGTTTTGTGTATGGAAAGATTATCACATGGCATTAACTTTTGCAAATGAATTAGTCTTATTTGCTGAAGCTTTGGAATAATAGCTAGATGTCATAATGGAAGTTTTTGACATGTGTGGGAGAAGCTTGGGGGAGAAGGTTGATAACTCTATTATATAGAGTTATTTTGATTCATTTTGGAAGCTTAAGTAGCTAGATCTTTGAGATTTTAGGTTTGAATTTTAGCATTTTAGGTGTTTTTTTAGTTTAAGTTTGATTACTTGTTAAGTGATTAATGTAAGTTATTTTAGTTAAATTTGAAGTTATTTTATTTTAAATTACTTTAAGAGTAGTTATTGCTAATTTCTCTTATAGCTTTTGTAGGAAATTAATGAAAAAGGCTCATTTGATGAAAATTAGTGCAAGTATGGTGATAGCTTCATTCGTATATATTTCAATATTTTGACCATATCTACAAAATGAAGTAAATTTCTAGTATGATTATTGGACTACAAGAGGGAGGATTATTGATTTTGTTAAGAATAATTGTTGACTCCATATATTTTTTATGATAACAAAACATTCCTCATTCATTAATACCTAACCTTATTAATTAAATGTGTAGGATAAAGTAAATTCCCTCAATGAAATGAATAATTAAAAGCAAGTTCGTATTATAGATAGGCTAATCAATTAAAATGAGAAAAATGGAAAGAATTTGTGAAGACAGGGCTTTTGTAACTGATTATCAAAAAGCCTTAATCAGTTAAGGAATGGCTAGCCTGTAACTTAAAGCAAAATGGAAAATGTTAATCCGTTAACACTAGACTTAACTAATTAAGAAAGTGTTAGACAAAGCAAAGTAAAGTTGTGCTAATTGGTTAATGCGTGGGGTTAATCGGTTAGAGCACAAGACTTAAAGAATCTTTAAGTGCCAAAATTGTAATTCAAAATGAAGGTGATTGTTGGATGGAGCCAAAATGATAGATTGCAAATTTGAAGAATTTTTAATTGATTAGAGATAGCGGTAATCGGTTAAGGCTAAAAGAAGTAAAACTCCAATCAATTAAGGGGAAAGTTAACCAGTTAGAGGAAGTTTGCTGAAGAAGAGAAGCTTCAATTATTTATTCATTGTTAAATGATGTGGATGCACCTTTGAGGTCTAGTTGCATAAAGCATACAAAATTATCAATTGTCGTGTAACTATTGAATGTCAAGTCAAAATTTAACATTAACGAGTCTTGTTTTAATTGTCTCATGCATCTAGTGAAAGAGATATTGCTATCCGTTGACACTTTATCAAAAAACTTCTAACAAATGAAGACCAAGCTCACTAAACTTGGACTCGTTTATGTTAAAATCCATGCATGTAAGAACAATTGCATGTTATTTTGTAAAGAAACTAGCAAATTGTCTTATTGCTCAAGTTGTGATCATCCTCGGTATAAACCGGGTAAATTAAGTGAAGGAAGGAAAAGAAAATTCCGTATAAGATTTTGTGTTACCTTCCTTTCATACTGAGATTACGAAGGCTTTATATGTCAAATAAAATCATAGAACACATCATATGGCATGCCACTAATTAATTGACTGATGAAGTTTTTACACATCCTATTTATGGTGAGGCTTGACAACACTTTAATTGCACTCATCAGTCTTTTAAGGTAGAGCTTTGTAGTGAAAACTCAATCATATTTAGATGGTTTCAACCCATTTGAATCGGCTACGAAATCATATTTTGTGTCCCCAGTAATGCTCACTATGTATAGCTTAACTTCGTAGATGTGCAAGAGACAATCATATATCTTTCTTAATATGGTAATCTTGGGGAAGACCAGTTCAGAACAAAACATCAATGTTTTCTGAGACTTTTGATAGATGCATTGAAAGTATTGTGGGACGAAGACACATGATGCTTTTAGGAAACAAAATTTTATTTTATGAGTAGCACTTTTATGGATAATTAATGATTTTCTTGCACATGGTATGTTGTCCGGATGGAGCACTCATGGATGTTTATCATATCCTTATTGCATGGTACATGTGAAAAGTTTCATTTTGAAGAATGGGAAAAAGCTTTATTTTTCATATTGTCATCAACAATTTTTGCCAATTGACCATCCTTCTCATTAAAAAAGAGATAATTTTAAAAACGTGTTGAACATGACTTTCCAATTCCTCGATTATCCACTGAAGAGATTTTGAAATGGTTAGATTCAATTCATAATATCACATTTAGGATAAAGGTTGGTGGCCACAAGCTTCTAAGTTTCGGTCAGACTCATAATTGGGTGAAGAAGAGCATTTTTTAGTAGTTACCTTATTGGAATATGAATCTCATTTGTCATAACTTGGATGTGATGTGTATTGAATGTAATGTGTTTGAGAATAAATTCAATAAAAAGAAGAGGCTATTGACACAAGGACTTCACAACAGAAGATGAAACTTCTAGATTTTCACCAAAACAACATCAGCACACACATGGGAATCTCAAAACTTGTGGCTTTTGTCATTTGTCTCTTGAATATCCCATGCATTATGAAATCATTGATTTATTATTTCCGCTTAACTTGGATTCTTAAAAAAGGGATGATTTAGAGCTAGATGTGCCGTAAGACATTTAGATGGATCATATTTAAATAAAACTTCCAACAAGTCTGCAAGTGCATATCTAAAGATCTCTACATGTTGTGATACCATATTTTTCCGATGATCAAGCTTGAGGGAGCAGTGTACCCACAATAATTTCATATTAGTAGTTGGTAGGGTAAAAGGATTATCTAGACGATATGGATTCATTAATGTGTACCTCTAATAATGAGACAAAAAAGAATGAATTCTAGGTGTCTGTTTTACAAGAAATTCAGAATATAGATATATAATGATGTGTGGGAGGAAATTTTTTTTTTGAAAGAAAAGGCTGCATTGCTCTCCAAATTGAACCAAATATTTTCATTTGTACAACAAAATTGCTCATCTGATGTTAACAGAAAGGGTAATAATTTGCTTTCCTCGCTCTTATTATCCCAATAAGGTCCTTAACTTCCTTTTTTCGTTGATTTTGAGTACATCTTTTGAACAATTCAAACAGGAGCGTTACCCTTTACTTCCATTAAATTCAATAAAAAAAAAAAAGCTATCAGTACAAGGACTTCAAAACAAAACATGCAACTTCTATATTTTCACTAAAACCAACATCAGTAGATACATGGGAATCTCAAAATTTGTGGCCTTTGCCATTTGTCCCCTGGATATCCTAAGCACTATGAAATCATTGATTACTATTTTCGCTTAACTTGGATTCTTAAAAAATCGATGATTTAGAGCTTGATGTGTTGTGAGACATTTAGATGGATCACATTTCAATAAACCTTCCAACAGGTCTACGAGTGAATATCTTGAGCTCTATACATGTTGTGATACCAACAAGTCTATGAGTGAAAATCTCAACATGTGGGAGGAGATTTTAATATAGTTGGAAATGAAGAAGATAAAATTGGAAGATGTGATGTCACAAGGTCAACTAAAGCGTTTGAAGATTTTATACCATGTATTTTTTTGGTGGATTTACTTATGTTTGGTAGGCAATTTACATGGTGCAGCATAAAAGAGGAGTTTACTTTTTGCAAGTTAGACAGATCTTTTATCAACAATAACTTGCTAGAATGCTATATGGATATTTTATAAAGATGTTTACCATGTTTGATGTCTTATCACAATCTGGTGATAATGGGAGTAAAGGACAAATTGGGGACCAAAGCCATTTAAGGTCTTTAATTATCGGTTCGAAGAAAGCAATTTCCAGTAACTGATTAAAGAAAACTAGGAATGAGGCAAAAATGGGCAACTCAAGTAGTCCTTCCCTTTGGTGGGGTCTCAAAAATTTAAGGCTTTTGATTCGAAATTGGTAACAGAGAACTTTTAGAGAGCTTCATTGCAGAATAGAAATACTAGAGGGTGAGTCGCATAATTTAAATGTAGAATAATATTCCATAATTGGAGATTTTGGAAAACGTGAAGTTAGTATGCAAAAAGGAGTAGAATTGTAGTTTCTATATCGAATTGAAGAACGACAATGGAAGGAAAAGTCAAGGGTCAAATGGGTCAACGATGGAGACATAAATATAAAATATTTTCATGCCATGGCATCGACTAGAAGGAGATCAAACAGACTTGTCAATCTTAGAATTAATGATTAATTGATTGAAGAACCATTGAAAATAAAAGAAAAAAGATTATTAAGCACTTCACGCTATTGTATGGGAATAGAAAAACAATGGAACTTGTTGATATGGACTGTGGAATACGAAGTTTGAAGATTGAGTCAACAGAGGCTTTAGAGGCGTCTTTCACTGAGAATGAGGTTTAGGAAATCTTGCATGACTATGATGGTAATAAGGCGCTTGGTCTAGATGGATATAATTTTAATTTTCTTAAATCGTAATGGGGGATAGTGAAGCATGAAGTGATAGAGTTAATGAGACTTTCATTACACTAGTCCCAAAGGTGAAGGACCCAATTATAGTTAGTGATATCGTCCAATCAGTTTAATAGGTTTTGTTTATAAAATACATGCTAAGGTTTCGGTTAATAGGTTGAAAAAAAGTGATATGACAAATAATTGGGATGCATAAATTTACCTTTGTTAAGGGTAGACAACTTTTAGATTGCCCCTTGATAGCAAATGAGATATTGATATGTTACAAAAAAATGCGGAGGGAGGTTAGCTACTTAAAGTGGATTTTGAGGAAGTGTATGATAATGCATGTTGGGATGTTCTTGATTTAATGGTACTTAAAATGGGTTTTAGGAAGAAATGGCATAATTGGATCATGGAGTGTGTTGCGATGGTATTTTTCTCGATTTTGGTCAATTGCTCATCTACTAAGCCTATAAAGTACAAAGAGGGTTTGTCAAGGCTGTCCATTATCTTCATTCTTGCTCAACATCATGGCTGAAGCTTTTAGTTGTCTCATGATTAAAGTTGCAAGGAACAGATATGCAATAGTATTCTCACTAGCGGGAAAGGTTTGAGCCTGTCACACATTTCTTTTCTATGAGCCAATCTAGAACGTTTATTGTATTTGAAAAGAGTGTTAAAATGCTTCCAAATTGTTTCGGGATTGAAAATCAATTCCAGGAAAAGTAACCTTTTTGGAGTGGGTAGTGATGCAGACTTATTAAAGAGATAGGCAACAAGAATTCGATGTAACGTCGGCCTTTTCTCAACAAATTATTTTAGCCTCCCTTTAGGGGCCATTCAAGCATCGAGGAAAATATGTAAGCTTATGGTGGATTGTTTTGAAGCTGAATTAGATTGATGGCAAGATAAAATGCTCTCAATTTGCAATCAAGTTACTTTAATATAATTAATGCTGAGTAATTTACTAATTTTCTGCTTGTCATTATTCCAATTGCCTTAAGGGGTTAAAACAAAATTGGACAAAATCCAAAAGAGATTCTTGTGAAGGGGAAATGATATGAAGAGGAAGATACATTATTAATTAGAATGCAAGTTTCCAACACAAAGATTTAGGTGGACTTAGTCTAGTTGATTTAGAAATAAAAAATCAAGCATTGCTTAATAAATGGCTGTGGCGATATGGAAATGAGCGGGATAGCCTATGGAGTGAAATCTTGATAGCAAAGTATGATTATGAGCTGAATGCCCTTTTGCCCAACACTGATGTTACTTGTAAAAGTTCTAAACAGCAAATTTTGGAATTGTTGTAGGTAATGGGCTTTCAGTAGTGTTCTGGTAAGATGAACAGATGGTAGGATTCATTCTTAAGAGAAACTTTCCACGCATCTTTGCATTGTCAACCAACGAAGATGGTAGGTTATGTGATTTTGGAGAATGGCAAGATAATGCATGGTAATAGAAAATTTAACATTGACACCAACTATTTGGGTGGGAATTTGAGCAGTCGAGTGTACTTTTAAGTCAGCTACAAGAACATACAGTTAGTGATTCCATGCTAGATGGCGTCACTTGTAAGCCTACTACAAGTGGAAAATACTCCCCCAAATCCTTACGTCGACTAGTGACAACCATACAGTGTGACAGCACAAAGCTTTGGCGCATGGTTTAGATGGGCTACGCACCTTTCAGAGTAGAAATTTTTGTCTGGCAACTAATGCAAGGAAAGATAACAATGAAGCATGAGCTTGGAAAGCAAGGATTGATTGGAGAAGAGCAGACAATTTGTCTCCTATGCAAGCAGCGCAGAAAAACAGTAAAGCATCTGCTTTTTACTTGTAGTTGGGTGAAATTTATGGTGTTTTGAATGGAATTTTAGTTGGGTGACACCTAACAATCCTCAGACTTTCTTCTTGCTATGGAGATCAATCAATTCCAGCTAAGGAAATATAAAATTTGAACCATAGCCTTCTTTGCAATTACATAGTTGCTGTGGCTTTTCCAAAATGTTATGATCTCAATACCAAAAACAGCTTTTACCGATGAAAAATTTTCTGTCGATAAAATTCATTAGCAATTAGAAATTCCATAGGTAAAGGAGTTACCGACAGAATTTACCAACCAAAACTATCCACGGAACCTCTAGTCGATAAAGATATGAAAATGTCAACAGAATTATTGATGAATTTTCCGTCGGTAATGCCTTCTAATTGTTAGAAACATTAGCGTTCGACTTACCAACGAAATTTCCGTTGGTATTTTTATGGCTCGCTTTTCATAATTATCTGCCTACAAAATCTTTTCAAAAGATAGTGGAATTTGTATTTCGTTGAGAATAGTCCTTGCCATTGGTGTAATTCTTCTACTGAAGATAGAAATCATCTGTTTCTTTGATCTTCACGGACATAGTTGTTTGGGGAAATATTCTGGAAAGGTAGGGGAAGTGGTTGGGTGCTTTTCAAAATCTATTCAACTCGTTTTGCTACAGAGTGAGTCCTTTTTGTGGCTTATCGAGAGGAATAATCGTTGTTTATGGTTTGTGGAGCTGCCTTATGGTCATTAGTGGGGGCAAGAAACAAAATCCTTTTAAAGGGAAGAAGTGGGTGATTAAGGGTTTGGTTTCACTAGTTAAACTTCAGTCTTTTCATTGCATTAAGGTCGTGGAGGAGGGGAAAGACAATATAGAAGAGGAGATTTGGTGGGCAGATCCGAGAGCTGACTCAAGGCCATATGTGTCAAAGTTGAGGGAAGATCGAAGACAAACAACTTCAAGCAAACTTCTTAAAGTTCAATTTGGATGGCTCAGCTAGACATAAGCAAGATCTTGCGAGCTGTAGAGGTATTTTAAGAAACTCTGACGGTACTTTTATGTTTTTTATTGGTGTATTTGATCCTAACTATGCTGAAGTCTATACCATCGAAGTGGCATTAGAATCATTTGGCAGTTTTGTATGGCTTGGGAAAAGATCTCTAACCATTGAATTAGATTCAACTGTTGTTGTACTCTAGGTGCTAAATAGTTGTAAGAGACTTTGAACGTTAAGGAGACTGTTTCAACATATATATTGATAAGCTGCGTGAAGTCATTGGATCGATGTATTCTTTTCGAAAATGTGTTCATGTAAGCTAACCATTGTGCTGACAGTCTTGTAGAAATGGGAGTGAATAGAAGTGAAATGTTTGTAGCTTAGTGCTGATTGGATGATAGTGTTTGATTTTTGTTGATGATGGAAATTTAAGGTATAGGGCTGTTGTGTTGGCACCTTTTATTTTTTTAAAGTTTACGGGTTCTTGTATCAATGTGATTGGTTTTGTGAATCAAGGGTTTGTCTATTGAGAGATTATTTCAAGATGCTACTTTGCAAGCATGACTAGTTTATGATCAAATTTTCTTATATTGTTTTTTGATAATTTAATCTTTTAATTTGGCTTAAAAAAAGGTGAAATAAAGGATAAATATGTGTATATATATATATATTTGGATTGAAGTAAGTGATAAAGACAACAAACTAACGTAATTGAGTAAACGGAGTGAATGCTTGATATGTTTAATTAAAACTTATTTAAGCACATACCGGACATTCTCTGGCGAGAACTCTCTTAGAAACATGTGCACGACGTCAGGATTGAAGTTTGAAGGTAACGATGAGCCTACTAACCAATCTTTCGGAGGATATTTCTGAGTATCAATTTAAAAGGAGTCAAAGTTAAACAGTAGACTGTCTAACACAAGATCCTCAGTAGAAATAAGACTTTTTTTGTATACACATTTTTAATTAACAAGAAGAGTAATTAATTGATAAAAACCAATTAATAATAAGGAATGTAAGAGGAATTACCTTCATTTTTGATGCGATTCCAATAATATAATTAACAGGTGAGATTTTGTCTTGATAGTGAAATCTTGTCTCGCAAACAGCTGAAAGCTTCATATAGAAAAATAAAAATCTCTTATAAGACTCTTCAACATGCGTAGAACTAGAAAGATAGTATTCGTCCCTCATTTCCAGCTGCACTGCTGTATCAAATTGAAGCACAGCAAGGGAGAAAGAATTGATAAACATGAAATTTAGCTAGGTGGCGATAAGATGTGCGAATTTGCAATATGGAATTCGTCAACTAACTAATGCACGATGTTTGGTAAGTGCACTAATGATTTTCCATGTCAGATCTTTCATGCCAGGTAAAACCTTGGTATGACATATTGGTAATGGATAAATAAATTTATGTTTTTCAAAAAAACAACAAGGAAAAAAAACTTACTAACGCATGGAGCACCTAGCTCGAAGTTGATCACAGAATCTTTCTATTTATCCATTCAGATTATTTTTCTTATAAGAAGTAGCACCAAGGGAAAAAAATATATATCAAAAATGAAAACGATGATGGACAGCTAGATCATCAGTATATGTCAATATCACCTATTAAGTTCTGCCTATTTACAACTACACTTAATTTCTTTCCAAGAAAAAATTAAAATTAATTTATTCTTAGTGCTCATAGGATATGCATACCTCCTCAAATATCCGTTTGCAAACAGGAGTCTGCTCTAAGAATTGAATATATTTAAATAGCAACCCTACGATATCCTGCATATGCTCTGAAATTCAATACAGGGGAAGCAACATTAGTGATATAATAAGGATGCACTTGGTGCACAGGATGATGTTGTTCTATTTCATTTTTGGTGTGTACTTAAAAGGGAAGATTGGATTGAAATGTGGATTACTCATCCTCCGAGAATAGAATGACTCAATCCTCTAAAAAAGAAAAGATTATTTTTAATCTCATGAGATTGGATGATAAATGATTTACATTTCCCATTTCACCTCTGAAACTTATATTTAAAAATTGACTTAAGCTAATGGTAAGATGACAAATGCCAGTGTTTGATTGTCTAGCTCAAAATATTTTTTTCCTCCTCCTCTGCCAGCCAGCATTAATACCGACGCCATGGTTGGAGCCCTCTCCAACGTCGGATCTGACTGAAGAGCGATCAAAATGGAGCTCCCAATGCTGATTCACGTTGGAAGCGACCAAACCTGACCCCCTTTTTTTTTTTAACAAAAAGTTAAATAAAATTATACAAATTTAAATTATATACATTTTGTTCAAAAAATTTTAATTTTAACCATAAACTTATAAATTTAAATCGTATTTACCTTAAGAAAACGGTAATTTTGATCATTAAAAAATTCATCCTAACTTATTCTTAGTTTACACACCAAAAATAGTATAACGTAAAAATCATCTTATTTTACTTTTAATTCTTGCGCATGTCAAATATAAGATAAGATGATATTATGTAATCCAAATCCACTTTTTATCTTTTGTTATCATGGTTAAAAAGACATCATCGATTCTTACTTCTTACGTTTACCATATATTTATGTACATAAATAATTCCCAAGTTTAAAAACAGATAACTCACTATCATTGGTAAAAGAACATACTAACCATGGCCAGCATCAGTGAGAACAATAATTACTGTAAAGAAAGAAAACTCCGACGTCCACACGTATTCAATAGCTTTCAACCCAGTAGCCCATCCTGCAATTTTTGTACATAGGCATAATTTAATGGGGTTTTTTTTTTTTTCACCTTTTGAGCTACAGAATAATTGATAACTTGTTCTTCTTGGATCAGGTCTTTCCTTCAGACCTTCCCCTCTCTAATAAGAAAAGGTTTATTTTCAAATAATAACTTTATATTGCAAACAATAAGTAGGTAGTGTCACATATGTAGAAGCAAGTAGAATCATTAAATAGCAACTTCGTAAATCTCTTGGCGTTATACACAAATAAAAAACATTTTATTTCGACGGAAACAGGTTGGTCGAAATATTTAAGCAAATATATGTTAGAATTCCGACAGACTATAATTCTAGTAATTTTAGGTGTATTTTCAATCTTTGATAAAATTTTATGAGGGACTTAATTCAATCAGAAAGGGACCAGAAAAAAGAAGCCGAGAAAAAAATTGTAATAATACCAACATTTTCGAGGAATTGCATCCGTTGAAAGCTGACCAATTGTCGAGGGAATATATCAGTCGCATATGTGTTAATTTCGTATTATATTTTCATCAAAATTTCATCGTAAATTCTTAAATATATTTTGACTTTTATAAACTTTGATTGAAATTATTCGAAGGTCCATTAGTTTTTCAAATGGATACTCCGTTCCAAAATAATATTTTTCTTTGGACACGTAGGTCCAGCTGTTTGTGTTTCCATCAATCTGATTTTATGGTAAGGGTAAAAAGATAGTTTAATTCTTGATTAATTTTTAAAATTATTATTATATAATTTTATTTATTTTTATTTTTTTAATTAAAAGAAAAAAAAAAGCTCTCATCTGGGGAGCACTAGAGCTCCCTTAAGGAGCTCAGGGAGCCTGATCGAGGCTCCCAAGGGTTGAGGGGCACTGATCCCTTAGGAGCACCAGCCAGTGCCCCCTTTTTTCGTGGAGTTGAGAAGCATCGATCATTTTAATTTTTTTCAAAAATATAATAATAATTTTTTAAATTAATAAAGAAAGAAAGGTATTTAAGTCTTCTCATAATTTCTGTTAACAATATTTGCACTCTTGAGATGGGGTCTCCATTTTAAAAAGTAATAGACCTATTTGAAATTTCGATTAAAACTTAAGGGTGAAGGTATTTTACCTATGTGTTTATTATTTCTTTAAGGTTTTAGTGAAACACTAAATTTGCTATCATCTAGCAAATGGTTGTTGTGTTACTTCAACATAGGAGTTCATGCCATTTTAGTTGTGAAGCTGTTGAATGACTATTAAAGCCACATGCATTTTTATTCTTGTTATTCTATTGTTTTTCAAGGGAAAAGTTGTAGAGCATAAAATTCTATGAGAATTTATTGCTTTTTCATTTTTCTAAATTCTAGGAGGAATGTATAGGAGGAATGTACAGGGGTCATATCATTTATATTTGGGTATTTACACTTGAAATGAAAAAGAATTTTTGTGGCTCAGCAATTTTTTCATTCTACTAATATTATTCTTCTTTTTCATTCTTCTCTGAAAAAAGGCTCTCAGTTCTTCATACTTTCTAGAAATTTATTCCTTTTTCTCAACATGGGACCTAAGATTCTCTTTATTTGTCTTTTTCATTCGTGCTTTATACTTTTCACTTGTGAGTAACTTAGCATTTATGGCTTTTTCCAATTTTAAAGCTAACTCCTCCAATTTTCATAGGTGAAAATTACCCCATTTGGACTATGAAAATGAAGACATATTTGAGGCTATCTAATTTTCGGAGGTGGTTGAAGTAGGAGGTGACCCTTCTATTTAAAGGTATGCAAATACAACAATGGCTCAAATAAAGAACACAGTGAAAAAGTAGCAAAAAGGTACAAACACTCTCCTGTATACATTTTCTTGTCTCATATTCAATTTTTACTCGAATAATGGCTTATGATGATCCTAAGCAAGTTTAAGGTAGACTTAAAGAAGAGTTTCAGGGTAATGAACATACAAGGTAGATTCAGATTTTGAATTTGTTGAGAAAGTTTGAGGTACTGATAATGATGGAGGATGAAAGCATTAAGGACTTTGTAAATAAGGTAATGAGGATCATGAATCAACTGAGATTGTTGGGGAAAGCTTTGATTACAAGAAAAATTGTAAACAAAGTATTGGTGAGCTTACTAAAGAAGTTTAAAGCTAAGATTTCATCTCTAGAAAACTCCAAGGATTTGTCAAGCATAATAGTGACATTATTAATGAATGCTTTGCTAGCCCAAGAGCAAAGGAAGGCCATAAAAAATGAAGACTCTATTGAAAACGTCTTAGTAGCTAGAGCTAAGGGCTTAAGAGTCAAGGGAGGTGGTTCACAGAAGCTCGAGGGAGAGGCAAACAAAGCTAATGATTGCAAGCAAGGTAAGTAAAGAGATAAACATGCTCTTTGCCCTCACTTCAAAAAACCATACTAGTAAGTATTGACACTGTAAGCCTAATGTCAAGTGTAAGGGCCTGCAACTAGTTAAGGCATGTAGAAAAAGTCTACAATGCCAAAGAGGCTAGTTTTGAGAAGAAGGCTGCCATTGCTAAACAAGGTTATGAAAATGAAGAACTCTTATTCATGGCTAGGATAGAAGCTAATTCAATGACGAAAAATTATGGCTTATTGATGGTGGACGTTCAAATCATATAATTGGAAATGAAAAAATGTTTACTAATTTGGATAGAAGTTTTAAGGCTTGAGTGAAGATTGAAAATAAAGTGTACTTGAAGATTTTAGGCACAAGCACTGTTGCGATTGAGACTCTTTCAAGTACTAAATACATAACAAATGTCTATTACATTCCTAAAGCTTATTAGAACCTATTAAATGTGGGCCAGTTAACTGATAAACATTATGCATTATTGTTTAAAGACAACTATTGCTCAATTTTTGATCCTTCTAATGCAGAAATATTAACCGTTGAAATGAAGAATACATGTTATCCATTAAACTTGACAGCATTAAACCTAGGGCTTTTCAAAGTGAAAAGAATGTCTCTGATCTTTGGCATAGGAGAATGGGACATGTGAACTATGGTTCCTTTATGAGAATGGCCTCAGCTAACTTAGTAGAAGGCCTTCCAATTATAACTAAGTTAGATAAGCTATGTGAGATATGCTAATATGGAAAACAAAGTCGCAACCTTTTCCAAAAGAAAACAAATGGAAATCAAATCAAAAACTTAAACTGATACATACTAATATTAGTGGACCAATAAGAACTCTATCATTGAATGATAGCAAGTTTTACATAGTTTTTAGTGATGATTTAAATCGATATTGTTGGGTTTACTTTTGTTTTTATTGATGATTTAAATCGATATTGTTGGGTTTACTTTCTGAAACAAAAGTATGAACCTTTGAAGAACTTCATTAAATTCAAGGCCTTGGTTGAGAATCACACAAGCCTTAATATCAAATTTTTGAAAAGTGATAATGTGTTAGAATATACAATTGCAGAGTTCAAAAAATACCTGATGGAACTCGGTGTCAAACTCCAGCTTACAGTAACTTATAGCTTTCATCAGAATGGTGTTTCAGAAAAGATGAATAGGACATTGGTTGAAATGGCTCAATGCATGATGTTTCAAAAGAAGTTGCCAAAGGAATTTTGTGTTGAAACTGTCAATATCGTTAACTACATCCTGAACATGACTCACACCAAGGCATTGACACATAAAAATCCTTTATGAAATGTGGTATGAACACAAACTTGGGGTTTCTTATTTAAAGACATTTGGTTTTGTTTGTTATGCGAAAATTCCAAATGAGAAAAAAACCAAGTTTGATTCAAAGTCACTATTGGCTATCCATCTTGGTTATAGTGAAACATCCAAAAGCTATAAACTGTATGATATTAGATCAAAGAAATTGTTTATTAGTAGAGATTATGAACTTTGATGAAGGGCAAAGATGAAACTAGGAAAAAGAGTCAGTTGAAAGCTCAGATAATGTGATTAGTACAAATGATGTTCAATTGTAAGATGATAAAAAGTCTTTGGATATTGAAGATTAAAAACTATTTGTTAGGGGTATAAGATCACTGCAAAAGATCTATAGTAGGTGCAACGTAGCCATAGCTGAACCTACAAACTTCAATGAAGTTTCTTTATATGAGAATTGGAAAGCAGCTATGGATTTAGAGATGAATATGACCAAGGAGAATGGTACCTGGATACTAGTTGATACACTAACGGATTAAAATTTAATTGGGGTAAAATGAATATTCAGAGCCAAATTGAATCCCAATGGATCAATTAATAAGTTCAAAGGTAAGTTAGTTGTGAATGGCTATGCACAAGTGTATGGTGTTGATTACTTGAAAACATTTGTCCCAGTTGCAGGACATGATACTATCAGATTACTTGATGCTCTATTAGCTAGAGAAAGATGGAAAATTTGGCATTTAATTGTCAAATCAACTTTTCTAAATGGTTTCTTAACTGAAGATATTTACATTGAGCAACCAAAAGGGTTTGAAAAGGTTGAATCAATAGGTAAACTCTACAAATTGATTAAAGCCCTTTATGGTCATAAGTAGGCTCCTCGAGCCTGGTATGAAAGAATAGATGGTCATCTCATAAGCCAAGGCTTTAATCACGTTATAAATGAACCTACACTTTATGGGAAGAGTTCAAATACTTCAGTTATGCTTATAATTGCCTTATATAATGATGATTTACTCATCACTGGACCAGATAATAAATTCTTGAAAGTATTTAAGCATCAAATGATGAATTTTTTGAAATGACTTATTTCTTAGGGATGGAGTTTCTGCAAGGTGCTGATCAAATTTTTGTGCATCAGACTAAGTATACGAAAGATTTGTTAAAGAAATTTAATATGAATTCTTGTAAAGTTGTTAACACTCCACTCACCACCGGGAGTAAGCTAGGCAAGAATGATGGTTCTTCTAAGGCTAATGGCATAGCATACAAAAGAATGATAGGTTCATTGCTATACTTGTCTGTAACATGACCAGACATAATGTTAACAACAAATCTCTTATTTAGGTTCATACAATCTCCATCATTGCAGCATTTCCAAGCTCCGAAACATGTTCTTAGGTACATCAAAGGTGATTTGAACTTTGGCTTAAGGTATCGTAACAAAGATAGTAATGACCTTCAAGGATATAGTGATAGTGATTGGGCTAGTTCAATTAATGATTCAAGAAACACGAAGCACGGGTGGATTCTATTTCTTTTTTGGTAGTGTAATTTTTTTTTGGAATTGATAAAAAAAGAAGAAGTAGTAGCTCAATCATTAGCTGAGGTTGAATAGATTGCTATTGCTTTAGCTAGTAACTATGCTTAATGTTAAGGAAAATTCTTTCTGACTTAGGTTTCAACTAAAACAAAGGCACTTTGTTGAAGGTTAATAATTAATCAATTATACCAATAGCCAAAAACCCTTGGCAATATAACATAAAAAGCATATTTGACTCAAGTTCATGCCTTGGAAATTCAGTTTGAATATTGCAATACTAATCTTCAACTTACAGACATTTTCATTAATGGTTTAAGCAAAGACAAGTTTGAATTTCTAAGAACAAAACAGGGAGTTTACCAGACAAACACCAAGGTGCTATGTTGAAGAATTTGATCTCAATCTAGTAGAATTAATTTTGACTTTAGTTTTAAATGGAATTTGGTAGTAACAAATAACTTCCAAAGATGAAGAAAGAGAAATCATGTGCAAGCTACACATGATCACTATAACTTTACCAATCCGTTTATTATGTCTTTATAACTTTACTGAAACGTTAAATTTGTTGCATTTAGCAAGTGGTTGCTGCATTACTTCAACACGAGAGTTCATGCCGTTTTAGTTATTTATTGTAGAAGGACAAGGATTTAAAGAAATGGAGGCATTATATATAATGGCTGATTTTTCACTTATAAATGTCATGGTTGAGAAAGTCCGTACTAACTTCTTAACGAAAAAATGTAAGATAGCTCTAAGAGTTTATGGCTCTAATACCAATAATGGAAGAGATGATCAAGGGGAAAAGTTGAGACTCAAGAGGGACATTTCTATATTAGGTATGCATGGCCACAAAACACGACTTTTCTGGCCTCAAGTGCGGCACGGCCTTCTAACTTCAGAAATTCCTCTTAAGACTTGAACAACTCACTCAACTCAACCCCTTCAATATTGATACTTAAACGTCTTTGAAATGAAAATCCTTTTCTAATGCACAAGATCCGTCTAAGATGGCAAGTGCAGAGCATATTTAAGGATCTGAACTCATGACAAATCTATGTATACATTTTCCTAATTAGTTACTAGAAAGGAGAAAGATTTAGAAAATCATGATGGAGAGAAAACACACAAATTTTATTACTTGAGCTTGTTCTACCCAATTCATTACAAGAGACCTCATTTTATAGATGAAGGAGGAGAAAAATGACATACTTTCTATAGTGATTGAATAAGAATACAAGAACACACATTTTACATATTTTACTAAAGTAATGGACACGCTCATCACTGCCACTTAAAGAAAGATACTAGCATACTTTAATAAAGAAAGATACCGATGCATTTTAATAAAGAGAAAATGATTGATCATCTTTAATCATAGTCTATTCTTGGGTTAGAGGATTTGTTGAGGTCCTCAATCATCTGCTTTCTCCTCTCTCTAAAAATGTACATGTGTAAAGATGATGCCTCAGGGTCAGTATCACAATGTTCATTGCATATTTCACATTATGGTTTTATGGAAAGTCGTGCAACCTTATCTTCATCAATTTCTCCATAATCCCAAGGGTTTTGAGACCATTCATGGGGTTCAATTATTCCTTCATTATATTTTTTTAATGCCTAAATGATTTAATCGTAATAAGGTCCAAGTGTTTCTAGAAAATATCCTAGGACATTTCAGTTTCCAAGGAAGGCCAAATGTGATGTAGGATAACTCTGTTGTGTTGGAAGATGCATCTTTGGAACGTCTTGTATTCTTGGTCCAACTCTCTAATATTAAATTGGAGAGTCCTATAAACCCATGCAAAGGGGAATGCTCCGAGCTGAGTAGCTTTCCCATGAGTGAAAAGGCATTAAGGTTTGTATAGAATGAATTTGATAATTTCCTTCCCTTTTTCGTGTTCTTTCTAGTAAGAAATAAGGTAGAACCATGAAAGAAAATCCACAAAGTTTTTCCTCCATGCTTCTATATCATTGGATAATGCCTTTTCTATGAATTTCAAGAAATTCATGATGTGAAATTGGATGCCAATATGATATTTATGGGTTAAATACCATAACATCCATTTTAATTCATTAGGAAATTCCATAAATTCATAGAAAGCGAAATCCCCACATTACACAAGAATTGATCAAAAAAGCCCTTATGAATTTATACATATAGCACCTAAATCATACAAATAGCAGTTCAATTCCCTTTTTACGAAGGCAAAACAGATTCATGCAAGAACCTAAATTCTTCCCTATTAATTGTCTGATATCATATATATAAATAAATCCAAATACAAAGTTTCCAAACAATATGAAGCATACTATTATATATTACTACTACTGATCGCACGTTTTATAGGCTTAATTTTTGCCATGACACTTTTCAAAAAATAAAATTTTTGCCACAACACATTTTGTGACACTTTATGTTGAATATAAATTGTTTGTCCAAAGATTTTTCAAGGAGTTAGTGTCTCACTTTAATCAAATGTATTTAAGATAATATGCCTAGAGAGAAAGATCCATAATGATTCTAACATGATTAATCTTGAATCTTTTTTATTTATTATTTTTTGATTTGGAGAATGAAAATTTGATTTTGAACTTTAACTCTTTAAATAAAATTGTGCATGAACTATTAAGCTATACAGTTAATTTCAAGTCTTAATTAAAGCATAAATTTAAAATTGTTTAATAATTTGATTATGGATACCTTTTATGTTTTTTCTTTTCAAAAGATGCGCAAACTTACCTAGTTTTTGCAAGATGTGATACACGGATCCTTCTCCTTTATGGCCAATGACACGACTGAGATAATAGCACGGCCCTTCCTTGTAATGATGCCAGCTTGGAGTTATTGGCCATACAACGGTCAATTTGTGCCTTTCTTTTATTGGAACAGCCTTGACGAGAATCTGAAATCAAATTAAAATTATACAGCTTCATTAATTAACCTTTCAAGATTCAACCACTTATATGATTTTGGTGCTTTTAATTCAAGAAACATGCTCCAATTTAATATGTTTGTTCTCTTGTTAAATTAAGAGTAATTGACATTATTATTAGTCCAATAGGCAACAACAACATATGTATTGATTTTTCATCATACCATCAGATGTTCTGACTTGAAAGGCAGACCCGTAGGTTGGAAACCACGTTGGTTGGAGTTTCGAATATCTTGGAACTTGTTCTCCACCAAGCTTTGAATTTCATCAAGGCTTTCTAGAAATCCACAACAAATCGCGTTATCAAACAAAAAAAAACCCAAGAAATCATTTTTCTTGAAAATTTAAACAAATCAAACATTCAACTCTAAGCTTTTCTGTGTTTTGTAGTAAGAGCATTGCTAGTAAAACTATATATGGCAAATTACAAGAAAAATTAAGATTTTCGTTTTTCTACTTTTATTGTTAGAAAGATAGGAAACAGAATGTATGAATTTTATATGAAACTATTATACTTGAAACAATATTTTATTTATATCATATGCTCAATTTTAATTTAATAAGATTTTTTTTCTTTTACTATTTTTTCCTCAATCAATTAAATTGATTTTTTATTAAAATCAAACAGAGTTAAATAACCTAGACAAGCTAGTTCATTAGTCTGAACGGCCTTACAAAGATCCCACACATTGCAAACCTAAAATAATAAGTGTCCGTTTAGTTCACAAAATAAAATGAAGTGGAATGGAATAGGTATTCTGTGAAAATAAAATGAACTAAAACTAAAATAAAAATATTAATATGTAGTTTGATTGATGGAATAAAATAAGGTAGAAATTACTATTATGACTTATCATGATATTTGTTTGTTAAATATAATTTTAGAATAATAAAGAAATATATTACAAAAAGATAAAATATCCTTTATTATAAACTATAATTATGGGTTTATTTTATTTTATTTTTTAAATATTAATAATGTATAATTTATTTAAAATATCAATATTTGATAATTGAAATATTAATATTTTTAAATATTAATATTTTATTTATAATTTAAATATTTTAATGGTTAAAATATTAATAATTTTAATTAATTTTTAATTTTAAAATATTAATTTTTTATAATATATAATTAAAAACTTAAAATTTTTATTTTAAATTCATTTTTCTTTTTCTTTCAATTTTCACTTATAAGGGATGGTTTTGTCTTCTTAATTTTAGAAGCAATCCCCTACCCATGGAATAGCAAATGCCATGGGGAAGGATGTTGGGATTAGTTAATCTTTGATTTTGGGTGATTTTGGGGAAAAGAGATTGCAAGAGAATGGCTATTCCTTTGGCCATTTGACAACCAAACAAAAGAGCAAATATTCATTGGGAATAAAGGATGAATGACTTAGCTATTTCCCCAATCGAACATGCTATAATATTTCTAACACACACAGCAACTACCAATAAAACTCGAAATAGAGGCTAGGGATAACCTCTCTTTTATCAATAAAACCTTGCACAAAACAGAATAGTCAAGTAGTGTTTGCCAATGGAGCCATGAATCACCACATTCCAGAAATAATTCTCCATAAAGACAAAGGAAAGATGAAAATGCCATGAACATATCAAATAATGTGGCTACCACCATGCATAGAACGTATCACCTCGTTCTACTCCAAACATTACCAAAGAGTTAGCCAGTGTAGGAGCAGAGGGAAGGGGGGTTAGGATGGGCCTTTGACTGCTCCAAAAGTTTTAAAATTTTATAATTTCTCTTTCCTTTTTTAAAATTTAATAATTTTGCCCCTACTTTTTGCCTGCTCCAAAATGTTTTGGCTTTACAAACATTGAACTTCTAATATGATTGTTTTATAAAAATTGTTTTCGCTCCTCCAACATGAAATCCTGACTTCACCACTAAGCTAATGTATTGGCTTCTCAAAATATGTGACAAAAAGAAATATCATCAATATTTCTAGATATGGTGTCCAACTAACTAAAGGTTTTCCATACTTTCCATGGGCGAAGTTTGCTCTCCTTCACCTTTGAAATTGTAAATTTTGAATTAGACTCAACAATGAGCCTATTAGAACCCAACCATGAAATAGCAGCAAACAGTTTGATTGCATAGAAAATAGCCATTGTGTTACATAATTAGAGCCCTGTATGCCCAAGGGATTCCCATTTGAATCTCGAAGGACACCTACCCATCTTGCCGAATTAGGTTTACCACGTGCCTAGCTATCCACATTGAACTTGAGCTCCGGCGGAACCTAAATACTGCTCAGCCTAGGTACCTTGCACACTGCCATCGAATTAAGGTTTCACGTTTCCATCCACCACCCATTCTCCTTAATTTTCCCATTACTTTTATTAGCCTTAATCCATAACATCAGCTGCATTTTGATAAGGAAGATAATTTCATCATCATCTCATTTCTTCCCTTTAAAAATAATCTTGTTATAGGCCAGCCATAAGGACCGAAAGGTTGACTTGCACACTGCCATCCAACAGGATTTGATTCCCTCAGTAAACCCATAATTATCCCATGACTAAATAATACCCTTTATCGTTTGCGGCAACACCCAAGCAAGGCTCCACCATCTTAGTATTGCCTTCCATAACTCCAGCTATAGTAGCATGAACAAAAAATTGGTCACATGTCTCTTCCACAAAACTACACCAACAACAATTATAATTTTCCACTACAAAGTGCACCTTAATGCAATCTAAGAATGCTCCTTGTAGATACTCTTTGCAGAATTGCTAACCATAAGAAGGATTACACCTTTAGAGGGATAGACAACCTCAAAAATGTCTTTAAAACACACTTCTTGTTCACCTTACACGTAAAAATTGTCAAGAGTGGTAAAGAAATGCTTAATAGAAAACCTTCTTTTTTTATCACGTAGCTAAATCAATCAGTCATCCTTGTCATTCTGTAAAACCACCTCTTAAAGCAGTCTAAGGAGATCCTTATATAAGTCAAACTCCCAATCCTTATATAAGCTTGCTTAATTTTTTAATTGAAAATTTTCCATGCTCATCAAATTTCAAATCCAATTTATCTTCTCTTTTCCCACTCACCTTATACCCTCAAGCTTCATCATCAATTGTTTCTCTAACTCCTTTCCCACGCAAAAAGCCTTTTACTAAACTCTATCTTCCAACTTTATTTTTCTCGTTTTCCTCCTTATAATTTTCACTAACCATTGCCTCTTTACTTCTAGCTAGAGTGAACAAACTAAGGTACATAGTGCTGGGTGCTTTTGTTGTTGCTATTGTCACTAGGTATTTCTTGTTGTCTAATGATGCATTTGACCATTTATTTCAAAATCTTATGGTATTGTTCATTCCCTTGTTCAAAGTCTAGATTCTCCATCGCTTTCTCTTAATGCTATCAAAAGTATCATATGCCTTATTGTTTGTTTTTACTGGATTAGTTACAATCTTCATTTGTCTACTCTCAAAGTCCATACTGCTACGGGTGTTTCAGTTGTAGATTTTCTAGGGTTTTTTTTTTTTTACTTGAGCTTTGGGCTTCTATTTGTTTGCAGTTAAGTTTATTTTGTGACTATATCAATTCCTTGAAACATTTGGACTCCCCGTTATATCAATAATAAACTCCTCTATGCTTTTCAAAAGAAAATGTAAACAGCATATATAACAAACCAAAATGAAACCTCACTAACCTTTTGTATATAAAACCAATTGCATGAGATTGGCTGAATAATTTTCTTCGTAGAACTTTAAAAGCTCATGTCTTATATCCAACCCTTTTGCTTTTGGTCTAACGTCCAAGGTATACCAATTCCCTACGTATATATCAACAAGTTAAACAAACACAATATAAGGTGCATATATGTATGTAAAATCTTTGTTGGAAGAAAAAAGGACACCATCATTTATTTTGTTTTTAAATTAATCAAATTCATTTTCTATACAAAAGAATTCTATTTTAAATTAATAATCAAGGTATACTAATTCCCTACATATATATAGTCTACTCAAAACCACCAACGAAATGCTCTGTTTTACTACAAGTCTTTTCAATATTTCAATTTGCATAATGTCAACAAGCACAATGCATGCCAAATGACCATGTCATTTGCCGAAGCACATATCATTTTTAAAGAATGACAGAGAAAACAAGGGTAGGGGGAAGAGAAAATTACATAAAAGCTTTACCTAGACCAAATCTATGATAAGGATGACTTTCCCAGCTGAGATGTTTTTGAAGCTGCATAGGGGAAAAGGAGTTACAATGGAAAAGAAATAGTTATGGATAGCTTTAAACTTCATTGTATTATGCCTCTTGCTTATCATATTTTCTTAGGAAATAAAAAGTAAAAAATAACTTTAAATTAAAATTAAATTTTTTGGAATAATTTAAAATTTAAAAATTGACTCTTAAAGATAACAGTATCACTTTGAATATGATCATTTCTTATTAGGGTTTCTCAAAGTCTAGGTTGTTTAATACTTAAATCACTTTGATTCTTAGGTATTTCAAGTGATCATATTATTTCTGGTCCAAATTATTTTGATTAGCATCGTTCTTTTTATTTTAAATTGAATGTCTATACTAATTAATTGGCATGCAATTTAAGGAAAAAATTGTGAGTTCTAGTGATTGTTATATTAAACTCTATAATGATTTATAATATTTATTTCCATTTATTTTTCTTTTCCAAAAAGTTCAAAAAACAAACAATATGTCTTGTACTTAGAGGCGAAACTATACGGGCTGGTCAGAGACCACAGTGCTAAAAGCTGGGAGAGAAAACGATATGGGAAGAATTCTCGTCTGCATATTGAATAAAGAAACTGTATAATATATGTCGTATTTTTATATACAAGAATAAAGGAATATTAAGCCTATAATAAGCTGTACTACTTGACAAAATTACGAGAATAATAAATGCCTAAAAATGAATAGCTATTCACAATTGTACGTAATTCTGTTGGTCCAGCAATCAGTGTTTGGAATTTCTTTAAAACAAATTCTTGCTGGCATCATCCTATTTAATTCTTTAACACTGCCCCCACAAGAGGAGCTACCACAGCTTGTTTCTTTGCTTTCCAGCTGATCAAGGATTTTCCAAGGAATTTACTGACTCTTATAACAGACCTTCTTGTGTCTAGACAACTCTCCCAATCACTGTATCCATAAGCTGTTAAGATGAGTTCTTAATGTGAAGACATCAAAATGCCATTCCCTGGAGTAGCTTTTAGGTATTTAAGTACCCTAAGTGCTGCATAAAAATGAGATTTTCCACGCTTGTCCATATACTGTGATAATGCTTGAACAGCATATGTGATGTCTGGCCGAGTAAAGGTTAGATAAATTAATTTACCTATCAATTGTTTACAAGTTATAGCATCTACCAGTTTATCTTTCTGTTCAGCCTTAGATAACTTTTGGTTATGGTCCATAGGTGCGGATACAAGCTTAGCACCTAGTAAACCACGTTCCTCCAATAAATCCAGAGTATACTTTTGCTGACAGATTGTAATCCCAGTATCTGACCTCGCTACTTCTAGAAACAAAGAAAGTAATAAAGGAATCTAAGTAATTAGACGTGAAACTTGCTCATTTTAATAAGACATTAAATCTCTTGAAAGGTTAAGAGTTAAAATAAATTTATTAAGTCTCTAATCAATAGAGTTGATAATTACTTGGTCGAAGGAAAGCTTGTTGAAGCAACAGCTGCTTGAACAAGGTGTCAAAAGTAGCCAAGTGAAGGACATAGTTGGTGATTGAGTGAAATGAGCAGGAATAGGGCCATTACTGAGTAAGCTTTAACTATTATGAAGATAATCATCCAAAGCTTTGACTGTCTGTATACATGAAGTCCCAAGAACACAAATCCATACATAAATGCAAATCTAGAGATAATCACCCAAAAGAACACCTTCTAGATTTGCTATGAATGCCAATAACACATTTACAACCATAATGCAAATCTTTTTGGCCTCCTTTCTATCAATATGGGTTACTTAAGGAAGAGTTTCATATTTCTATTTGAATTACTCAGGAAAAGGGAAACCTATTTGAGATCTCCCCAAAAGATAAGCCATGTCAACACTGTGCCATGTCAGCATTATGCCACATCATTTGTATTAGTGCTATGTTAGCTTGGTCAAAATGTCACATCAACATACTTAACGGTCAAATTTTAACGGTGTTAGAATTAAAGACTGAACTTAACAAATTGATAAAGTATAAGGATCCAATTCATACAAATTATTGTATAGGGACTAAATCTATGCTTTTTGTATACTACAAAGACTAATTGTATAATTTAACCAAAAAAATACTAATTGTTTTAAATCGATTATCATCGTTTCTTAACTGATTACCATTTTCTTAATTGAAGTCATCCTTCCCAACAAAAAAAAAAACCTCCACTTTCTTCAACATTCCCTAAACACAACTACCTTATAGTTTGTAAATTCCTATTTTTTTTTAAAAAAAATACTTCTTTAGGTAGTTTTGAATTTTCAAAAACTATGAAAGATATGGGGAAAGAATCTATTATTATTAGTAAATAAAATTCAATACCATCAAATTTCCCCTTGAGATTTTAGGGAAAGAAGAGCATTGGATTTCCCTTATAGATTTTGGGAAAGAGAAAAGAAGGATTTGACTTTCTTTTACAGATTTTAGAGAAGAAATGAGCATCATATTTCCCTTACAACTTCTAGGAAAGAGAAGAGAACGATTTTTTTTTTGTTGTGGAACAATATTGTTTGTCTTTGCTAGTTTTAGTATTATAAATGTTATGTGTCCAACCTTTATTGTTCCTTTTCACAAAATCATTTTTAGGTATTTTCAAATTTCTCTACACCTACTTTCAATCAAGCAACAAGGGCTTCAATCAAACAAAAAAATTGGATTAGATTTTTTCATTAAGAAGGATGACTTCAATTAAAAAGAGGATAATCAGTTAAGAAATGATGGTAATCAGTTTGAAACAACTGTTTTTTTTTTAATTTTTTGTTTCAAATCCCTAACCAATAATTTTCGAACATTTGAAAAGGAAAAAACTCAATTCTGAATCAGTGATTTTTTATGTCACATCATCTACCATGTGACATTAATGTCATCAAGATGACACATTAACGTATCAAACATTGCTGACTGTACCATTAACTAACTAAAGTTAGTTAACAATTAATGAAAGATAAGTCTTTGATCCAAAATAAAAATTCGGAGGCTTATTGAACACAATATAAAGACATGGAGTAAATTGACTTTCTTGATATAGTTTTGACACTTATGTATGTATTTTGCTTATATATAATTTTGAAAATATCCTCAATAAAACTGTTAAATTTTCAAGTGAAATATTCAATCTATAACTAATTAATACTCCTCTTTAAATATAGGGATAAGAAATCTATCATGAACCTATCAACCTGTCACGCAGCACATGTACCAAGTAACATTAACAAGTACAAGCTTAACCAAGAAGAAAGATCTCTATTATATTCAAAATTTTAAAACATCTAAAATTTAATTGATATAAAATTTATTTTATCACTACTTTAACAAATTAAGACATTCGATTAGTTTCAGAAACCGATTCAAGATCAAAGTAAAACCAATACCTGTTGCATTCTCCGCTTATCAGACAATAAGGAATTCTGGTATACTGAGACAGAAAGAGAAAATGGTACTAATGAATTAAAGTCTAAATACAAGAAAGCATTGTGTGTATAAATAAATAAATATAGTCCTTATACTAAACTTTCAAAAAAAATCTAACGAGATATCTGCATTAATTTTTTGATACTTGAATTTTAATCCCCTATATACCCTAATACTTGACATGTTTTTTGACCAATCAAAATATGAAGGGTGGTAGGAAAAATATTATGCCAATGGATAGGGCTACCACGCAACATACGCGTGGCTACTGGAGTCAAAAGCTACCTTTTGGATGGCACGGCCGTTTAGCAACAAGGACAACCTTAGTGATCTGAGCAACTTATCTTATTTACTCAACCTTGTTAATATTGATACTTAGACATCTTTGAGATTTTTTTTTTTTTGGTGCACAGGATTCATCTAAGATGGTAAGTACAGAGCATATTTAAAGATATAAACTCACAAGAGATCTATACTTACATCTCTTTGATAATTACTAGGAAGGAAGAAAGAGGCTTAGAAAGTCTATTGAAGAAACATTGGATTTTTATTACTCAAAGGTGTTCTGCCTTTTCATTTCGAAAGTTCTCCTTCATTAAAAGAGTTTTCCTTACCATGTTCATCCTAAAATATAGTAAAAAGTGAACTTGGTCCAAAACAAGATCTCATCCAAAGTTTTAATTCTAAAAGTAACCCTATTTTCCACTTCATAGATTCATCCATTAGACACTATCGATGGGACATCAACTGTAGCTATCAAGGATGCTAGAGAGATAGCCTTGAGGCAGACTCTGAGCCAAATCATGAGCCAACCAAAATGATGGTGCTGTTTTGGGTCCAAATGGCAAGACAGTCCACTGATAGTGGTGATTAGGTATACAGAAACCTATTTTGGGCTTATCTTCAAGATAGATGCCCAATTGCTAGAACCCGACTTTCAAATCGAACTTAGAAAACACTCTGGCGTTAGCAACACGTGAGAATAAAGAGTTTCTATTTAGAAGTGGGAACTTGTCATCTACGAGAAAACGGTTGAAACTTTGGTAGTTGATAACTAGTCTTAACTTTCCCTTAATTTGCTCAACTCTTTTATTGACATAAAAGTTTTACATGCCCATTGAGAATCTAAATGCTCAATCAATCCCTATTATTGTAACTCGTTGCATCCTTGCTCAGCTAGGTTTTGGTCTTTAGGATTTATTGCTGAGAGGCTAGCCTTTATGGGATTAATATCCTCATTGAGCTTGAATGGTAACCTAACAAAAACTTCTGGATTCTTCCACAGGGGATTATTGCATTTAAACATGAATTATGAATGATAATTGGCACACACCTTTTCTCTAAGTAGACCGACTGTGAGCTGTCCCTGGTCAGATGGTCGCTGGATGGGATACAGATATGGAATTTGTACAAATAGTTTGAAAGAATATTTGTACCTTATTCCTTCAGGGAGAATCCTCAAATGTTGGCATTCATGATAAATGTCAAATCCAATCACTATGTTTTTTCCAGTTAGTTCAAACCCAAGTACTTGGGTGGTGATAAAACACTAGGGTAAAAACTAGAGAGCGATAAGTTTGCTTATCAAGTGTGTAGTGAAAATCTGATCTGAAGCAATCTTGAAATGCCTTTCATGAGGTATCTAGCATTCAAATGGAAGGATATTTGGGTTCATGACTATTTTAACACCAACTACATTAAAGAAAGCAATGACTGTTATCGGTTGGCTATATTTAGAAAGATAGGTTGAGACTGGTACTGACGTTATTGGTGGAGCAGGGATTTTTTGTGTTTTAAGTTGGGAAGGAATATTTGGTCAGGGTTGAATTATGAACATGCCTATTCTTGAGCTTGCCATGAATTAGGATCTTTCTTGTTCTAACAAAGGGTCTTCAAGATAAGGATGAGATTTTTCATCACTACTAGTCATAGCTTCTAAAGTTTTAGAGGAGGTTGAGTAGGATGATGGAGATGTTGGCTCATCTTGGGTTGCTTGAGCAAAAGAGATTTTGGGAATTTTATTTCATTTGTATTCTTTGAGGAAAGAGATTAGAAAATTTTCTTGCTTGATCATCAATGTTTTGGGTTCAAAGCCTCTAATGGTTATTCCAAATCTTGATTTTGATTGTGGAACCTCTATTTCTTCTTATGGCTATGTAGGTTTTTTTCTTTGGGCTTTTGCAGACAATGTTTCAAGCTTTTCTGTTTCAGATGATTCTTCGACTTCCTTTCTTTTCCTCCATTTTTCTTCTTCTTCTTTTTAGGCTTTGAGTTTTTTATAAAGATTAAAAAGAGTCAATTCTTTGGATGGAAGTGGCAGTTTTTCTAGTATTTTTCGAGTGTAAGTTGATAGTAGGAACGAATCATTCCTGTTTGGAGATGGGATTTTCTTGGTTTCTTGAAGGAGTTTAATCTGAGCTTTGAGCTTTTAAATTTCTACTTCTTTTTGTTCCATATATAGTTGGAATGGAGCACCTTGTTTTGGTATTTCCTTAGAGGCTTGTCTAAGTCTATTTTGGAGAAGTTTGATCATATCGTTGGTGGTCTTGGCATTTTCATCCTCTTTGTTTTCCACCTCCTGGATTTTGTCCTAGATGCAGCTGACCTTTTGGTCAATTCCTTTCAGCCAGGAATTTTGGAAGAGAGAATATGCTGTTTGCTAGTTTAGTGTAGCTTCTGCTACACTGGTTTTGACTTATCTTCCCATAGCATCAGCTTGGAGAGGGGTCGGAATTTTAGGTGCATGCTTGAATTCCTTTTCTGTAAATTCTTCTAGTGGAGGAAAATCATGGTCATAAAAAGGACTTATTGGTTGAAACATGCAAACCTAGGGTACTAGTGAAGGTTGCTGAGATTGGTGATAAGTTTGAAAACAACTTTGTTTTTGTACCCACTTTTGGATCTTTTAGTAACAGGGTAAAACAGGTTTTGGAGATTTTGGAGGTGGTGGTTCATGATGCGAAAGGTTCTTTTCATGCCCACTTTAAAGGAGAATATTTAACTAAATACTGGTATTTTCCTCCATGTTCTCCCAAAAGTCCTATTGAAGTACTTTTGTCTTAAAATCTTCTGTACATAACTTCGTCAGAGGAACATCTTTGCTTTTTCTTTTTTTGACTTCTTGGCTAGCTCATGATCTAACTCATAGTTTACCTTAAGACTGTCTTTTTGGCTTCCTTTGCAGCTATAGTTGGTGTGCCATGGACAGTTTCCAGTAAACCAATCTGTAAACTGGAAAATAAGGTTACCCTTGAAATCAAAACTTTGGATAAAAGTTTATTTTGACTAAGTTCACTTTCTACTATTTTGAGCATAAACATGGTAAGGAAAATGGGTGGTGCATAAGGGCAGAGCCTCTTTATGAGATGGGCGGCACCCCGCAAAAATTTAAGAATTTTTTACATATTATATAATTTTTTAAAATTTTTTTTATAAATTTTCTTAATGGCTCTCGTAAAATAATTTTTTATTTAATAATTAATACAAAAAAAACAATAAAATAATTTCATATGGGTGCCTCAATTTTACAGATTTTTTATTTTTTCTTTCAATTTATATTATTATTTATATTTATTTATATATTTTTATTTTATTTACTCATATATTTTAAATTTTTATAGATTTTCTTTTACAAATTTCTATGAACTATCAATCATATTCTTTTTCTTTCTTTTGTATTATACCATATGTGGATTCTATCTTCTATTTGTCATATTTTTTTTATTATGTAGATTTTATTTTCGATGATTTTAATCTTTAAAAATAAATAAATTATTATGTAATTTTCAAATATAAGTTGTTATGTTGTACAGTTGTTTAGAATTTCATCAATATATCATTTTTTATTTAGAATAACCAATGCATTTTGGGATGCATGATGCAAACTTTAAGTAACAAGGATATACATACAAATTGATAAAAAATGAAATAATTGTATTTCTTT